TAGGCTCATTGTTAGAGGTAGGTAATCATGAAATACACAAAACAGTAACCAATAAATTCTTTGAGCAAGAAGTTTTCTGTTGGGAAAATATGAAACAGCGCAACAAAGGGGTCGTTCCCCTTGAAAGAAAATGCTATTCCAATTAAAAGACATCAGAGGTGTACATATCCATGACCACTTTATGCGTGATACAGCTATCATCATAATAGTCTATTCTGATGAAAATCTAAGAGTCAACATTTATTTTCTTTTGCGATGCCTTATTGGGTGACTTTAATTGACCCAATAAGCAGGGAACCAGTCATATATCACATTACACCTAGTGAAAAAAGGGAATATCTCGTCGCAAATGAGTTTCCATCTTCAGTGATGTTTTCTACCACATAACAGGCTGTGTTGCCGGCAAGTGGGGTCCTCCGACATGTACTGACTTGTGTGATATGTGCTACAATGGAGGAGTGTGTGATGATAAGACAGGAAAGTGCATCTGTCCACCAGGATTTAAGGGACCAAACTGTGTCACAGGTAAGACTGTATATCGGCCTCTTGTGTCTGTCCGTCAAAACGATTTTGACAGGAATATGTTCGATCCAACCGATCGGACACAAATGTTACCAATTATTGTTTGTTTGGAGTCATATTCGGTTATTTTAACGTCCTCTGCGTACTGTTGTGGGTCTGTGATGTGCTAAAGTAGGGCACTAGGCCCGTGTGCATGACAGTGATAGTGAGAAGCTCCTATACCAAGTGTGTTCAGGCCTGCACTTCGGCTTTGGGATTAGATCGAGTCAAGTTGATATATAAAAATATCCACAGTTGAGTCATTGGTCTGAAATGTGTCACCTTACATTTCCTCTGATGAAAATTCAATTCCAACAGCCTGTCCAGCTTATTCATTTGGCTGGAATTGTGAATTCAGATGCGGGGGAAGGAATCTCTTCGGCAGCTCTTGTAACTTCGTTCAGTTCAGTTTACCAGATCCGTTTGGTATCAGCTGCATCAGTGGTCGTTATGGCAGTGGGTGTTCATCTGGTATGTGTAAAGTAATTCAGTTTAAATTAAAATGACATGAAGCTTACATGATTGGGCAAGGGCAATGCACGTCTTCCTTGATGAACTAAAAAGGCAAAATGAGTCATTGGGCGTCTGGTCATTTTGCCATGATTATTATTATTATCATTATTTTATTTATTTGCCACCATTAAAAACAAATAAAGAAGAACACACAATGACAGGAACTGAGGAAAGTGAACGTAATCACTGTTGCCCACAGGCATTCAGTCCCACATAAAAAAATTGTTAAAATAAAATAATTAATAAAAAGACATTGAAAGGTTACAAACCAAAATCACTAAAATAAGAAATTATTTAAGAGATAAAATTGCACATTAAAATGACCGTGCTCGCATTACTTTACATCATCAAAAAAGATCAGTGACTGCTGAAAGACAAGTAAATTTGTATCCTGTGTGGTCTGCTCAATCAAACGTTGAACCTCCAAAAGCTACTTACAGTAAACACACTTGACTTTTCAATTTTTTGACAAATGTTCCCATAGAGCAAACAACCAGATCCGAACAAAAAGTAACTGACAGTTTTTCCTAGAGTCGAGGAAAGGCGTGTGTTAGGTTATGATTCTAGAAGATGCTATTGGTTTCAATGTGACGTTTTTGATTTGAACTGAGCAATTTTAACTAAGATGAAACATTGTGTGGGGAGTAAACCAGAAAAAATGCACGATAATTAATTGGTAAGCTTATACAGCGAACCTGGTACCGCTGTGCATGACGGTACGAATGAAACACTAGCTGCTACTTTTGCCAATTTGAAAAAAAAAACACAGTGTTGCAAAATAGTCTGTTGGACCTTTTCGTAATTGAAAAGCTTACATTTCACGTGAAGTTCACTTAGCGTATTTTTCTCAATTATATTTCCCTGCATTATACGAGTAGTAAAAACCCAGGAACGTCCAAAATGTTCATTATTTGCCGATGCTTTTTCTGAAAGGTTGTCCTACTGGAAGATTTGGTGCCGATTGTCTTCAAGAATGTCACTGTATGTTCGCTGATAACGGATGTAACTCAACGACGGGAGTATGCAACTTTGGTGGCTGCACAGACGGTTGGCTGGGAACTAACTGCCAAAGTGAGTAAAAGAGAAAACACACAATGTAATACATGTAATATTATGTAAAGAAAGACTTCGAAGAAGAACAGAGAAGGGAGAATAATAAGTGGAATCCTTGTATACGTATCTTCATATGCAGCAAACTATGGGACAGAGGGAACCCCCCCTTTGTGTTGGTCATTGTTATACTGTTATCTCAGGAATTCTTTTCAGACATCTAGGGGGATGTGTTAAGTGACAATACGCTGGAGTGTGTGAAGGGATGGGACTTGTTGGGGGGTACCCCTCTGTTCCATTTCGTGCTTGGTATACGTATTTTAAACGGTTTTGAATACAGCCACATCAACGCCCATATAATCAACAGGATTTCACATTTTAAGCACAGTTCCTTGAAAAGGGTATTCTCATGTAGTTAATGGCTGCAGTGGGTGAAGCTCAAGTTAATCATAGGGTCTAACACTTACCAAGTCGCAATAAATGAGTGGCTGTACTTTTCCTGCAGTACCAGACGTCTGCCCTGTTGGTTATTATGGACTCAACTGCGCCAGCATGTGCCATTGCAACGGCAAGGCAGCCTGTGACAAGCACACTGGGTACTGCAGTGGAAGATGTGCCCCAGGATCCACCTGCGTGTCATGTAAGACAAAATGTCACTTGATCTTTCAATTCACTCATTCATTCGCATCAAGATACGATGGATATTTGCTAGGTCTGTCTTTGTTACATAAGACGTCTTAGTTTGCACCTTAATACCTCTCATTATTTGCCATTTTGGCAAGCAGTCTACGTAGCAACGTCACAACAAATATCACCGAAATTTGTTGAGCTTCCAGAGAAGGATGTAATCCTCTTTTGTATTTACTAGCCCTTGGTATTGTTATCTAACATCATGCCCTAACATCTTGTAATAATTGTACGAAGGTTTGCACGGTAAAAATTGATTCAATAAGCATTCAAATGTACCTTCGACAGTTTGTTTCCCTTTTTAAGAACGCAACTTGGCCATGTATCATTTGATAAAACCCACTGCAATTTAGTAATGCCCCCTGCGTAAAAACCCGCTTGGGGGAAATTAGTTCAGGAGGATGAATGATAATCGCGTCGATTCTCCTGAGCCAGTCTCAAGGTGCCTTTCCATATGAAGGGATTTTGGTGCGTTCCGTACACGATGCGTTCATGCGTTTTATGTTCACAGACACAAAATCAATTCCGTTGGCATAATCGCACACGTGTGGTTTGCGTTTGATATGCATATGGACAGGTGCCTTCATGCACGTTTAAGACCGGTCAAGCACGTATTTATTCCCTTACATTTATTTCCATAATTCCATAAGCTTACAACAATGTAGCCAAGTATTTTCATAATTGAAATAATTGTTATGGATGGCTTCTGCAGATCGAACCCAAGGGGGAAGGGTGAGAACGGCCCGCGGTAACATCATAGACATTTCCACTTTTTTGAGTCGTTTTTGAGTTGTTTTGAAGTAGGAGCAGTTGTTTGGACTCGACGTTTCGAATAATATATGCATTGTTCTTTAAAGGGGCTTAAGAAGTGGATGATGGGCTTCAACACTTGCAGGGTGAGCTCATTTGGACGGTTAGAGGAAGGTGCGAGATTTTCGAACAAAATTGGCTATTGAAGCACTCAGTGGAGGGGAGCGATCACCTATTAAATACGGCCGTTTCACAATAGTGAGCCACCAAGAGTTGCGCGTTTGGAAAGGGTCGACAAATTTCGCGCGTTCTGATTGGCCAATGAGTTGCAAACTCTTGGTGGCGCACTATTGTGACTCGCTTGTATTGCATCAATGATTGTAAACGAGCGGTAGTATAAATTTAAAAGGATTGGAGGTGTGATTTTCACGTAAGACGGCAACTTTTATCGTTATACCATTTGTTCTGTTTGTTTACAGGGCAGTGTGATTCTGGTTACTTTGGTGAAGACTGCAGTAAGGCGTGTTACTGTAAGGATGACACGCCGTGTGACGCTATCACAGGGTCCTGCCGAAGCGGCTTGTGCCTCGAACAGTATCAGTCAGATGGAACCGGAATATGCCAGTTTCGTAGGTGTCACATACACTGATGTTCCCTACGGGCGATTTCATATTCAGTGCGCTAGATAAAAATGAAAGGCTTACATTATTCTACACTAAAGGTGGGCGTGGCATTATAGGCCACCTCCTCCAAAAGAGTCTATTAATTTGTTTTGGGCAACACCGACAGAGGGTGGAATTCTTTGTTTGTTTGTTTGTTTGTTTGTTTGTTTGTTTGTTTGTTATTGTCCTTTCAAAAAGCGTGAAAGAAGCCACAAAACTGTCACCTCCTCAACAAAACGACCATAAAAGGTTACAGGAAATATTTGTCCATATTGTTCGTCCCATCTCTATAAATCAAGCTTGGCCTGCCCCTGCGAAATTTTGGCTCTGGATCCCTCCTTGATTTCGTAGATCACAATAGCTCCAATCCTGACAAAAAAAGTCTTAAATTGCTTAGCGTTAGAAAAAGTCCAATGTTGCCCCACAGAGCACCAGAGCTCAAATTGTCGTCGCCTATAATGGCTTTATGCTTGGCGATCGATTTGGTTTATAGCTCTTAGCACAGTACCTCCCTCCAGTTTTCAAAAGTAACGAAGACTTTGAGTACATTTCCCGTCTGCTGAGGTTTGTTAGTCAGAGTGTTTTTGTTAACGCCTTTCATTCAGTTTTACCAGTGCTGAGCCAGCCCCCCAAGGTAGAAGTTGACACCACATCGGCCACTGTCAGGTGGGAGGCATGGGGCTCTCACCCAATGGATGCTGGAGATGGACCAGTTATTGAGTACACGATCTACCGCTCCAACCCCTCCACTGGTTCCTGGGTTCGTGTCAGCACGGTGCAAGCGAAGTACCAGCCACCAGAGGGCTTCAGTTTTCTGATTGATCCATTACAACAGTTGACGGTGTATAACTTCAGTGTGGCTGCGGTGCGTGAGGGAGACGGAGGGGAAGGACCCAGGAGCCCTGAAACGACAATCAGGACAGAACCTCAAGGTGAGATCCATGCGTGCATTTTCTGATGCTTTTGGGTTCCCCAAACAAAACATTGAGAGTTGTAAGCCCAGAGGCCCAATAGTGTATTTATCGTACTTTTAACCAATGAAACTGTTTCCATCCCTTCCCTCAACTGATGGATCAAACGAACCCACAGCAATGACGATAGGAACCAACATCGGCTTGATCGTTGCCGTCTGCGCACTCATTGCGGTCATTGTGATCGTGGTAGTCGTGGATTATCTGCGATTTCGACGCTTCAGCAAGCGACTGAGGCCCAAGAGTCATTCTATAGCGAGTGCTGTTAACATGAACAGTCTGGTAATTCGTTTTCTTAATTTTGCATTCTCAGTTAGGTCTCTTATCACCATGAGCAGTAATGAGCATTAACCTGATAACAGACGTAGCCGTAGCTCTGATATCGCGTCGTGTAGTTCCCGACCTCAAACGTCCCAGCTACGGCAACTTTTACACGTATGTCTGTAACTGAAGCCATGCATAGCTAGTCACCAGTTTCAAATAATGTCTAGATGTGCATGTTGCTGTCAGCCCAGCCAAGACCGTGAAGACGCAGTCGTCTGTTTCGACCCATGCACAAGGTTGTTGTGACGGTATGTCGTGTTTGTGCAAAGACGTTCATGTATTTTATTCATTTAAATGCAAGGCATGCATTTCCTTAAGGTTTTGCCATAGAGAGTTCAGTTAAAGTTTCCCATACCTTAACCATACAGCTAAGGAGCGTATTTTCAGTTATTTGCTTAGTAGGGTCTACTATTAAAAAACCAAGTGGGAAAATGCTACGAACTTAGGATTAGAAATGTTTTTCCTTAAAATAGGCGGCCTATGACAATCCACTGGCAGATGACATACCTAGGAACTCTGTAACCATGGAGGGCTATGACGACGTTGGCAATGACGCCAACGACGGTGCTGACGCGGCGACCACCTACGAGGAGGTCGACTTGCCCTGGACCAAGTCCTTGACCGTACCCATCGATCAGCTGTCGTTGGGTGTCAAGGTGATCGGTACTGGTCACTTTGGAGAAGTGCGTTTGGCCACTGTGCTCTTGAGTGATGGCCACTTAAAAGCGGCCGTGAAGCAACTCCAGGGTAAGTAGTCGCACGTTCACTTTAATGGAATAATTTTATGGTACACTGAGTTATTTAAATTCACGTGAAAATAACGACTTGAATACTCCATACTAAAACTGCTGTTGCTATACCACGTGATTCGGGACAAGCTTGTGCTTAGTTACATAAGAGACGCCTTGCAACAATACACTGTTCTCAATGAATAAGAAGGGCACGGAGGAACCAGTCCATTCCAGGGATGGTGGTCGCTATGCAAAAGCCTGCCCCGAATCACGAGGTATTGCAACAGTGTCTTTAGTCTGGGGAATTCAAATCATTATGTTTATGATGTGCAATCAGATAACTCCATGTACCATATTTTATTCAAATTCAACTCTCAAATGGCTTGTTGTTTTTACACGGATCTCGTTTGCCATCAGTGACCCCAGAGCTGGTTTACGGTATCCATTAGGCGGACTTTGGTTTCAGTGAACCAACGACAGATCATTGATAGCGATCTAGATCTGGGCCAACGCTCATGCGTCTTGGGCATGAAGTGCCATGTGATCGCCCTCCTCAGTTTTCGAGCTATCTTGCTGTCCTCAGATCTCAGAATGTATATTGAGGTCCTTTACATCTTCCTATTCAATCTGATTAGGACGAGGGTAATTAGATTGCTGCAGTTATAATCCATCTACTTGTGCAAACGGAAATTGGAAACTTTCATTGAAGTACAAAATATTTGTTTTTGAAATTAAACCATCCATCTACTAAATTTATGTACGATGCAAACAACCTATTACCTGGGGACAATCTTTTGGCCAGAGAAATTGTGCAGAAACTGAACAGATATTATACACAAATGAAATTTTACAGAGACAAGCAATGAGGGAGATTTTAAACCTGATTTCACAAGTGTCTTCTCTAATCAAGCATTGTTTGGCCCGTTGTTTCTCAGTAAATGCCCCAGCAAGTGAGAATGAGAGGTTTCTTGAGGAATACCGAACTCTGAAAGATATCGGGACCCACCCAAACATCGTCCGCATGCTCGCCGTTGCCTTCCATGAAGGTTGAGTCTGATAACATTTTCAGTTCTTGTTTATATTACACCGTAACTACTAAACAAGGATTCTGTCTCATTTGTTTGCCAGTAATCGATCATGCGTCAGTTTTTTTGCGCCATATGTTTAGAGTTGACAGAGAACTGACGGAGAAAACCCTGTCCAGAAAAAACAAGATAAGATGTGAGACAATGAGGGATTTACTGTCATTTACTGTCCTGACACAAAGTTTCGACGTAGGTATGAAAGCCTGGCGATAGTGTCCTCTCAGTAAAATAATTACATAGCACATAACACTTTGTGTTGTCAATTGTATTTATTTATTTCATGGGCATAATCCTACGTACATGTCTCACTTGGGCTGTCACCTGTACGGGAAAAAGATTCAACATTTGCACTTTCATCGAATTATATATATATACATCAGATGTCTTGTACGTGGCCCTGGAATACTTGTCAAATGGTGACCTTCGTACCTACCTGAGAGGAGCAAGACCTGACGGGGGAGTGGGACAGTCATCCCTATCAGACGCCAAACTGCTTCAGTTTGCTTTTGACGTCGCCAAAGGGATGCAACATATTGCTGCATCTGGGGTACGTTGGCATGATGGTTTAATAGAAGATTTCTTCCTTGGCACAAAGTCCACATCTGAATGCCATTTGCTTGAACTAACATAAAGAGATTAGCCAATGACACCAAAAACACATATACTCACTGGCCTTAGATGAATAAACGACATATTGCAGGAATTTCATTGCTTGTTTTAAATGAAATATTACTATTCACTTAATATGTAACAATTCACCATTTAGGACCATTGTTCCGAAAAGAGAAGACGGTTTATACCTTGGAAACACTGGGCAGAATCAGTCGTTTCGCAAGCAGCATTTGCTATCTTCTTTGAGCGTAATTAAAGTTGCAGATTAGAAGGCCTTGAAGTAATACTTGGAAAAAATGTATGACCATGGATAGAGGTCAGAAGGGTTTTCAATTGCAAAACAAATTTAAAGTTTAGTGAGTTAGATGAGCTCTGAAGCTTTACATAGCGAGGGTGGCAAGTTATATAAAATGTTTGCGGTAGACCCATGCCACTCCAAACATGTTACTCAATTCGTTAAACTACTTGTGTTCCTCAGGTGATCCATCGTAAGGTGGCAGCTGCAAGCATTCTTTTGGATGAGAACATGGTTCCTAAGATATCAGGATTTGGACTAGCAAGATGCGCAGAGGTCATCGTCGAGAAACCAAAGAAGGTAATTGTCGAAATCTCAAGGGAGTGTCCAAAATCACATGGCAGTTTTACAGAGTGGAAACAGAAGATAAAATATAGGCTTCAAATATTCTAACAATGCGTAGCCTACCAGTAGTCGTTTTATAACAAAAATATTATGCAGAAGAAGTGCTATGAAAGTAATACAAGGATGAAGTTGTAATTGTCACAAATGAAGCAAAGCACCTCCAACGAAACATTTCTAAACCTATTTGGCTCCTTCTGTGTAACAGCTGTTTCCACCTCCTCGCTGGATGGCCTTGGAATCACTGAAAACCAACACGTTCACATCCAAAAGCGATGTGTAAGTATACGAAGTACCTATCCGTCGCCATGTTGTTTCGGTTGTCATAAAGTAGATTTGCCACCTTTGAATTCAGTAATGTATGACGTTTTCAAAATTATTTTGTACGTTCCCCTTCATTGTAAAGGAAACATCAAATACCATTATAGTTACTTTAGCAAATGGAACTTTTCAAAAGTAAACACAATCTTATTTTTTGCTGATACAGTTGGTCCTTCGGGATTCTTTTGTGGGAAATTTCTTCCGTGGGTAAGTTATCAAATCCGTCTTCACCGTACATTGACAAAATTGGTTTTTGACTTTGATATTTTCACAGACTGTTATTATGACCTCAATTCGTTGATTAACTCTTGTAAAATGTGACCAAATGAACGAAGAATATAATCCCAAGAATACACTGTAGGCAAGTATAAAATGAGAAACATTCGTTCCCAAATTCCTAAACAAATCAATAAAAAATCCATTTACAGAAAGGTATAACGACATTTATTTCCTGACAAACATAAAAACTTGGTAGAAATTGAGAAACAAGGTGTTTTTGAAGTACGAAAAAGAAATGTTCTGTCAGTGAAACAACATACGCCCATTTATCAGTGAATTTTATTTGATGTACAGGCGCAACACCGTACGCTGGGATCAAATCAACGAGCCTGGGGACGAGGTTTGAGAATGGATACCGCCTGCCCAAGCCAGATAGTTGCAATGATGAAATGTAAGTACATATGGGAGGATCTTTTTCAATCATTAAGCACATTGCTAAGCACTTCGTATGCCAAAAGAATTTATGACGCAATACTTCTAACCATGTATACCCCCAACAGGTTTTTGTTAATTCATTGCATGGATTCATAAATCATAACTCAATTTTATGCGTAGTATCACCGTAATTTGAAGAAGGGTTCAGGACAAAATATGTGACAACAATGGGAAGTATTTTCTATTTTGTATTAAAATTTTGTGTTTGTGGTTTCCTTTTACTCGTTAATTGCAAAGCTACAAAATGAATTCAAACCAGCTCAAGTACAGAAACGTGAATTTCTCCTGTATCTACCAGTGCTGAGTGGTAATCTCTCCTGGGATATAGGTATTTGAGGGCAAAGAAAAACAATTTTTAGTTGGCAACAGGTGGATGATAATCAATTCTGAACTTTGCTCTTAATTATATATAGCTATGGTCTGATGCAGCAATGCTGGCAAGAGAATCCAAAAGATCGTCCTCCGTTCAAGAAAGTGGCGTCAATCCTCGAGGGGATGGCTAAGGGCCACAAACAGCAGGTGGGTAAAATAAGATATTGTGCTGCTGTCTGTTCATAGCGCTGTGCCTCTGGTTATCGCTCCGTAACACTGGTTATAAATGGAGTTTGTACTGAAATACATTGAAAAACACTCTACCACAGCTGCAGCTTACCAAACGTCAAAAGTGGTGTGACGACTGATGGAAATCTTGACCGTTTGAACTAAACGTGTTAATTGTTCGAATTCAGAGTGCTGCTTGTCCAGTTCAAGGCTGAAAATACAAACAGGATAACAATTCTAATCGACGCCAATGTCTGGCTGTTATATGTAGCGGCTATTAAGTGTTTCGGTAAATACCCCTAAAGTGTAAAGATGATAGACAATGTCCGGTTGATTTATCATGGAATTTGTTTCTCTCTGTACCGCTGAACCGGTAACATTTGTTCTTGTAGAGATACATACAGATGTCGCCAAGGTCAGAGACGCCTCATTACCTGAACATACGGCCGGACCAGGACGATAAGTAGAATGGAATTGGGAACAGAAATGGCTGAAGAGGAGATCGAAATCACCAGCCAATGTCACAGATAGAGGATTAAATAATGCACACCATCATACCCCCTAACTGACTGTAGAACTTTTAGTCATATTGAATGAGTAACTTTTGTAATAAGTTATTCACCTGCATCATATACCGATTATGACATTTAATTGCTGCTGAAATGTTGGTAATAGTTACGTAATAAGTGGTGTTTTCGTATCAAATTTGACGAAACTTAGATTTGATTTTCAAGGATAGAAATGCGCTGATTATTTTATATTGCATCTATCTATACGATTAAATTCTGGTAATTTTGTTTGTTTAAATGTCTAGGTACAGTACCTTTAAAGTAAATTTGGGTTTGGTAGGAGCTTTTGTTTGGATTTTGCAACTGCTCGTTTTTATTTGTACTGTGGGGAACCGTAAATGGGTAAGGGCGCCCTCATCCTTCCAATACGCGTCACTGAGGTAATTAACATAAAGTGGATACTTTTTTATAGGCTTCCCGGGCACGCAGTGTGAAGGTGATCTCTTTGCTTTTGGTCTCGAATGTAGAACTGTACTCTCTGCATTTTGCTTCTGTTAATTTGCAGGGAGCATGGCTTCGGCCATGCTCTTAAGTGTGGGAGAGAGTCGATGCAAGGAACCCCTAGTAAGTACTTATCATTGTATAAATACTTCACACGATCTTGTACGATTTACGGGACCCAATGTGGTAACTGCTTTCTGTTCTACAACGTGACACAGTGTATTGGTTAGCTAGCAGTGTTAGCCTTTGGCCATGCATTATACTGTTATTTACGGTGCCGTCTAGCCATTACACTACACCAACTGTTTTCATATTTAATAAAGTGTAGTTCTGGAGTTAGACATCATTTATTGTTCACGTGTTCTCCAAGTGCTCGTCCGCTTTAATTAGGGGACCGTTCCTCCTTCCTACCACTGTCCAACTGACGTGGGGCTGGTCTGCTACAGTACAAAGAAATATTTCATTTTTTTTCTCGCCTCACACATTAAAGCCTTTTAAATGCCAATATGTGTAGCTTTTTGTATAGCTTCAATGCATTACAATAGTAGCTTTACTTAAGCGTTAACGTTTGACCTTTACTATTTGATCAACATTATGTCAGTGTTGTAGTCGAGTCACCAATGTCGAGTCCGAGTCTCGAGTCCTAGTCCCAGTCTCGAGTCACAAACCTCGAGTCCGAGTTCGAGTCACAAGTCACAAACCTCTAGTCTGAGTCCGAGTCACAAGTCATGAATCAACACCACAACCACTTCGCCTAGACCCAAGCAACTTCACACACCCAGAGCCACGCATTTTTATTTACACGCAAGCCTGGCCACTTCGCCAAAAGTGATAATCATGCGGCTGGTTCTAGAGACTATAAGGCCATTATGTACGTCCGTACTCGCGTGTAAATGTGCAATGCGACGATACAACACTTCATAATGTTCTAGTTGTAAAAATAGGCCGTTGATCTAAGACAATTTTTTGTGTATTTTTTTTATGAAAGAATCAATTACAGTAGTTTAATTAATACTTCAAAATACCCAGTGAAATAAGTGTTACGGCCTACTATATAGTCGCGCTTTTAAACACTGTATTGGTTCTTGGTACTGTCTGTAGAACTCGAGAAACTTGGGTCTGGATCATGCTTTTAGTTTGACAGTTTCATAGTTCACCTATGAAATGAAAAAGATTAAATCTTGATGCATATTGAGTTCATTTGTCGAGTTATTACAATGAGGTTGCACTTCGGTATCTTTGAAAAGTGGTTATAGCACAGGGACACAGTGTGATATCAGTGGCATAGTTTATAATACCAAGTGTCTGTTTTTAAAACCGAAAGTAGGTAATATTATTTAGTTGGCAACATTTATATATGTATAACAACATTGTAATCAGCTTTTGTACCGGTATATTGCATTAAGCAGTGTTGCAGTTGAGTCGGTGGTAAGTCCCCTACAAGACCAGTCGTAAGTAGCAGAGTGAACGATTACAGAGGAAAACGTTCAGTTCATTTGCTGTAAAGCTCAAGACTTGGCTTATTAAAAACTTGTTGACTGGCGATAACGTGGGCACTGATTTGCAGTTGTGATGGGCTCAACAACACTAGCATTCGCTCATTGAAGAAAAATGTTTCAAAAATAAAAAACAGCTGGAATGCATCACACCAAAGTCTCCCACATGCAGTTTTAAATTAATGCATATTCCAAATATCTCGCGGTTCAGCACTGCTCGACCTTACGCAATCTGTTGTTCTATCATACACGCTTTCGAATTCATTCACATGCCATGATGTTGAAAGGCGGAAATAACTGGTAGGAGCTCGATGTTCCGATTATCTAGCACGTGATCTACCCATGACGAACGCTGGAAAGTTGCAAATCGAGAATTTTGGAAGGAGAGGTGGTGAGGTAAGGCGGTCGAGCCTTACCTCACCTTACCTTGAGGTGTGTGTTAACATCAACACGATAAAAGATCCTCCTCAGTTACATTACTGAGCATAGCAATGTTGTTATTTTGGGACAAAATGTTCCTCTGACACAGTGAAGAAAAAAATCAAAAGACAGCGGTGACAGGCATCCGACCACCCCTATTCAGCCTTTCGAACGACCCATCAACCCTGCATATTAATGCGACGTTCGTGCAGAGCGGACATTAACACTCCGTGAGTTTACCAAAATCGCTGCGCGCCCAGTTCGGCGCGTTGTCGCCTCAACGTCGAACCACACTCACGCCACCGAAGTCATTAGGTGAGTAGATTTTGGATGTTTTGAGCAGATATTCAAACAATTGTCGAAACTTTAAGGGTGGAAATTTACTGGATCCCGGTATAAAGACACCCCCCCCCGGTTGAAACGAGGAGACTCGAGTGCAATATCAACACTCCACTAGATCAAGATTTCACTCGAGGTCCCACTTGAAGTGATTCTTTTCCAAACTATTTCGTCTTTCATTCAGTGTGACGCTGACTCTAAATTGTCTAGTCCTAAGCTCGAATTTAGGAAATAAGAGGGCAGGTTTCCTCTCCCGAATATTTTGTGGCAACTGAATAATCAGTTTCGTACAACACAGTACAAAAATGGAAGTCACAGACACAAGTATTTATTTTTGAAAGAGCCTTACCATTATCGGACCAAGCCGGTACTTTGTATCGGGAGCTAACAATAGACCTAGCCGTATAGCCTGAATCTAAGTCGGTTCCGGCTATGCTGGACCGTTTACGTCACTGACTGTTTGCGTGCATGTGATTTTTATCACCCATTTGACACGCCCAACAGAGAGAGCTTAAACAATCTTCCGCCTACTCTCCCTATTTCAGTTTGAGTGTGCATGGTCGTTCCATATACTGGTTTGCGTCGTCTTCTTAATGAAACTTCTGTACGTTTGAAAAGTTTACTCCAGTAGTTGTTTCAAAAGTAAGAAGTGAGAACCCCGACGTCGCTCGATGATGACGTTTGATCTTCTTGTTGTCATCGTGTTCTCCACGCTATGCCATGGCGCTGGTGAGACCTATTCCTTTCTTAATTAAAAAAATGCCTTTCGTGTGATAGTGCATGCATATCCAAAGTTAGGCAGTACTGATGAGTAATGATTATTTAGCCTTTTCTGTGAACTGCACGGAGTTTGTTGAGCGCTACACTGTCTGCGATAAATGTCGTTGGTTCAGCGTTGTATGGCAGAAAATGGTCATTGTATGGGGACATATGAAATGTTAGTAACACCTGCAGTCAAGATAAAGATCTTTCAATGTAGCATTCCTGAACGCGTCTTCAAAATGAACATATTTTGGCTCTTTAATCTGGAAGTGAACGAGTTTTTGTGTTGGCTTTGACTCCTTAGAAAAGCAACTTTTTTAGCAACAGTCGTGTGCAAATTTCACTGGTCTTTGAAGATTGTACAGCATTTGAAAAATTCGATTTATTATGGGGAAGTGAAGTCGGAAAATACATTGCTATTAGCTTGAACGATATTTCCTTATATCCACGTTTTTGTTGTTGCAACAATGGCTGTAGAGCCAAAACCAAAATTTGTATCATTTTGACATTGTCAAGGAAATAAAAGGTCGCGATGTTTTGACGGCGCGCGTAAAAGGAAAGATTTCTCATGTATCATTCAACAGACGAAAATGGTTATTACCTTAGAAGTGCTGAATTGGCGAGAAATATTAACAGTGATTGTGTAATAATTGCTATACCAGTCATCAGACAGTTTTTGTGAGGGGGACCCCCCCCCCTTCACGCCGCCAGTGCAGGTGTCGGCTGAAATACCAGTGTGTTTCTGGAAAACTTGGATATAGGAAATAGGAGCGCCAAGCCTGCTCAAGCAACGAGGAAATGGAATAATTTAAATTAGGAAGATTTTGACAGCCTGACAAGAAAAACGGGAAATAATTAGCATGAGCATGTATCGATGTTGATTATTCTCAGTCATGCATGATATGAGCAATGCACTATGCAAAGAGGTCCTCTGATAAATCAAGTCACCCCCATCTCTTGTGAACAAGCGGAAACAATGACACACATTATTTGCAGTGATATTAATAAACACAAGAGAAGAATCGGTAGTGTTTATACCCTCCTTTAACTATTTTTGTCTCTGAGCAGAGGAGAGAGGGGGGTTCGACCCCAACCCCCCGGATCTGCGTTTCTGCGCTAAAATTTTGTCATAATGTTGGATATTCT